TTTTCATAATTTCCTCTTCATCAGGAAGAACCATTCCTGACTGTAGGGGGGCAAATTTGAAACAAATGCCACCTGCTCCCCTGGATCTCTCTTTAACACACCTCATTTTCTCGAGGCTACTCTATAATGCAACTCAGCCTATTAAACTGCTGAAATGTTTTTGCCAAAGACAGCTGCTGGGATCTTCTGGGAAACCTCTTCATTAACACTCTATTATGTAAGCAACAACAGTTTTATTGACTGAAACTTGGAAGGCAATTTCAACACAATGATCCCTATCCTTTGCCATGTTAGTTGCATCAAAATGAATTAGCAATATAATCTGAAAACAATTTTATTACTTTCATAACTCACTTTTAATGAAGCACTTATCATAATCTAAACCTAAAACACATGGGTAAATGGAAAAAAATGTAACTGTTAAAATCTGCTCCACCTGCTAGACATATTTTTAGTAAGATTTGACTTGCCACCACACTAAGCATACTTTTTAAAKGTGTGTGCCTCATCATCTGACACACTACAATATCTAATGAGAAAAACAAACTGAGCTACAGAGTAGATAGCTAAAGAATCACAAACTACTCTGGGAGTCATGGTAGCATTAGCATCAGAGAAAAAAGTCTCAACTGATAAAATATGGGAAAAAAAGACCCTTCAAAGAAGTTCAATTTTTTTCAATAGATTAACAAATTAAATTAAGCAATTTTAGAAAATTAAACTCTATGTAAAAGTATACAGTTTCATTAAAATTGGCCTGTTACCTGATCTGTTCACTGTACTTTGACATGTCTTTGTTTAATTTGCTGCTACAAAATCTAAGGGAAATGAAAAGTGAAATTCTGTAATTTAGACACAATTTAATTTAAAGTGACAAAGTGAAAGAATTTTTTTTTTTAATATAAGGGAACCAATGTAAGAGAGTTCCAGCTGAAAACGTGACCTTCCCAACCAACATTGCTCYTTTTTAGTGCAGTGCGCAAAAAACTTCATCAGAAGCAAAAGCATTATTAACCTTCATTTAGCARAACTGAAAAAATTAAGTGCAAATCATCGAGAATTTAAACCCACCAGTGTCTACTAGCAACAGAAATCCTGCACCCCTTCAGGGCACATTGAGAAGAGCTCTATCGCCACTTACTGGGCAGCTACAGAAGTTTGTGGTTTGAAAACAGCAGAGAGGATTGCAAAGTTCTGCACAGATAGGCAACTCAGTTATATTTCTTCCTGCTGTTAGCTCTCACATTATACTTCACTGTTTATCTGCACCTTAACCACTTCATAACAGTGCGGCCAGAGCCAAAGGCTCACCTACCTCYCCAGTCAAAAAACACTGTAATAGCAAACTGCTGTGTTCAAAATACTGCGGCAGAGCAGRTGCATTCATGCTGGATTTAAAACAGTGTAGGACTATCAATACAAAAAGCCTGGATCGGGATTATTGGGTTTTGSGGATTGCTTTTTGGTTGGTTTTCTCTCCTTAATTCCAGTCTATGTGGGAACATCCATACTTGGTGTCTCAAGATGGATAACCCAGGAGTATTTTAAGTTTCCTATAACCAAAAAAAAAAACTCCCCTCTACAACATTCTCCAATAGACAATATTCTGTTCATAGAAATAACAGAATACCCTGAGCTGGAAAGAATCCACAGGCACCATCAAAGGCCACCTCCTTGCCCTGCAYACAACAGCCCACAGAATTGTACCATATGCTTGTTCCCAAAAGACTGAGTGTGTGTTTGTACATATTTGTTTCATTACCTCTTCTCACACATCAAAAGAGCATACAAATGTGATACTCCTTCCACAAGTCTGGCTTTTCTTCCTGCTTTGACAAGATCACCCATTCACAAGATGTCTGCAACACTGCCTACTTACCAAGTTTCTAGGTCAGAATCGCCTTAATAAGTGTTTTTCACAGTAACACATCCACTGTGATGATCAACTTCGTTTAATACCTTTTTTCTGGTAGACTCGTCATCTTTCCTTCCATTCCACAAAAAATACAAAACATGGATCAGAAATTGTCATCTTCATCAGTTTTTCAKCTGTGTATCAGTCTCTCTGCCTCAGATTAACAGATTCATGCACACACATTACAGCAGGTACAAACAGCTCCAGAAAGCTGGAAACCCACAGCGGGCCACCACTTCCCAAATAATCTCCCAATGCCACTCCCAATTTGTTAACAGACAAATTAAGCAGGCTGCATAAATTCAGGCACCCAAGCTCACTCAATACACCCTCCACCAGAAAAGCACTTGAGAACCACCTTACAAACACCRAACAGTGACATCTCATTCATCCAGAGTTCAGAGACTAACTAAACCCTGGTGGGGCTTTTAACACCACCATTGCCTTCCCTTACTAGAAAAATAAGCTAAGCAGACTAATAAAACATAAAGGTGGTAATGATTATTTTAGCTAAGTTAATAATGGGCCCTCTTATAAAATTCATTGTATTAATTTTCGCCATGCACATTTCCTCAGAGTCTCTCTACCATAAGAAATGAAGTTGAATTTTTAGCTTTCCATTCTTTCCTTTATTTAGCCCCCTGCTTCTTCATGAGTTTGTTCTCTTTTAGGTTCCACTTCAGTCCATAAGTAACACAACTAAGAACCAACCTTTGTTACTCACTAGTGCTGGGTCCTTGCTTTTCTTCTAGAATCCTACACAATCCAACTCAAATCCTTCTTTATCTGTTACTTTACTTTGATTATTTCAGGGAAAAAAAATCTAGCTTCAATATTTATTTATTTACATGAGTCTGGTTATGTTGTACAAATGTATATTCAAGAAATAGAACATGTAAGCCTGAACACAATCACAGCAATCCGCAACTTTCCATCAGAAAGAGTAAACATTCCTTTCAGTCTCCATCTTCAACTTCCCTGTAACAGTACATCAAGTATTCCACCTGTTTAAGTAATAAAAGCCTCACACTGTGAGTTTAGCTTCTAACGTCTGTGATTTTTTTTAAGAGAAAGATTTGTCTGAAAATTATGTACTCTAACAGCACCATACCACCATTGCTGCCCAAACTGTCCTGGARTAACTGATGGAAACTAAATTTCAAGTGAGAACTTCTGTTAAGCCTCAGATATGAGTATTAACTTCYTTCTCATACCTGTCATAAGCCATACAGTTTCTCACTAGTTCTTACAAGCACTTCTGATGAGAGACAGTTCTCACTAAATTCACAAAAATGCTTATATTGCTACTTATGGATGGGTTAAGCTTTTGTATTGTTCTCTAACTGACAGSTAATGGAGAAGTCAATTCCTATGACCAAGTGAAGATATTAAAGCATCAAAAATTATCTGCTGTTTAGTATGTCCCTGCCCTAAACCACAACAAATTACTGGCTGCTGTTCAAGAAACTCACTGCACTTTAAAAAACATACCAAAAAAATAAAAAAGAACAGAAAATATATACAACATCCAAAGCTAAATACTAGGAAGACACAAGCAGAAGTTCTAGATAGAAGACARAAATAAAAAACTAATCCCTGTTTTATTTTAAGTACAGGATGTATTAGTGATACAAGATTAGAATGAAAATATTTAGAAATCTCTATATTCCGAAAAGATCTAYTTTTCTATAAACCACTGCATAATTTATTTCCAGTGTTAAAAACAAAGATGTGTATTGACTATTAATTTGTATAWTGTGTTTCCAGTAACCCACTTTTGCAACTACTGCATTAAATCTATTGATTAATACAATGACAAAATGCTTAAAACTTACTTATTTTAACTTGGTTTTAATTTAAACTCAGCTTTAAAAGGCTTGAAAATGTTACTCAGAAATTGCAGGCCTCAGGAACACAAAAGAATCAACACAACTAAATTCACTGAATCAACACAACTGAATCAACACAACTATTCACTCACTGAATAGTGTCACTATCTGAATAATCAGTAAAAGGAGGAAACTGTATTTAAATATATGAAAACAGGCTTTTTCCCAAAGAGATTTGGTATTTACTCATCACTTTTTTTTTAAATCAGACCAAACCACACACACAGGACGTTTATTATGGTATACTCTAAACTGCTTTAAACTTACAATTTGTTCTCTCTTCCGYATTGGCCAGAGAACCCTTTTTAGCATGACATTTTTAAAGGCGGAAAGTTTGACAGCCCAGGAGCACATACTGACATCATGGTAATRTTTCTACCAGGAAAATAAGGTTATCTCTAATCTGGTACAATCAAGTGAAGATGCTCTTAAAAGTAAACACAKGATACAAATTTGTATGTCAGCATTCTGACAGTTCTAAGGGGGACTACTCTCAGAACTGTTTCTCCCCCTCCAGCGCAGATTTGGCCAAATTATGCAGTTAATATGTAATTTACAATCCAACTTTTCCCTCTTCGAACTCTCCTCTACTCCAAAGGGACTTCTTGCTCGAAGTGTAACAGGAAAATGGAACCACTTTTGCAATATCCTTCTAGAACTGCCAAACTCCCAGGACTCAGAAGGCATTCAGAGCAGCTCCAAGAACCTGACTTTACAAAGTATTAAGCAGATTAACAGTGCATTAGCTGCTTGGAAGTGTTTGCATGGGCACTATGCACAAGCAAATAGGCTTACTCTCAGTAAAAAAGACACATTTTCAAGATTAGCTAAAGCATTACTTAGACTATGGTTTATCACATTGCACCTTATTTACCCTTTCAGCTTTCAGATCCAACCAGCTTTTCATCTCTTGACTTCTATCATCTTTTTTTGTTGTTGTTATGAGAACACACAAAAATAGGTGCAATAAGAAATTTGTTTCTTATTCTTTGTTTCTTATTCTTTGTTTCAGCTGACACTACCAAAGGCAAAAACTTACTTAGTACTAGATACTAAAAGCAGAACGAAAGAAATAATCCTTTTTTAATTGAAAAAGATTAATTCAATTACTAACGAATCACTAGTGTTTAGAGAAAGGATTAAAATATGAGGCACCTACTCAGTCAATGAAAAAAACAGCAAGAAAATATTAGTACCTCCTGTTTTCAGCCAAATTTGCACCTTCATCCTTGAGCTCCTTACTTCTCCTCACACAATCTTCTAGAAGAATTTCCTTTCTTCTCTTAGCTGCATGCAACCAGTTAGCATCATCATCGTCACCCAGATCCTTGTCATCCGCAGCTTCTGCCTCGAACTGCTGAGAAGTAGCTTTTGAGACCTTCTCACCAATCTTCCTCTTCCACCCAAAAGAAGCCATCTGGAGAACTAGGAMAAACGCATTTTCAGTAGTTAGGTAATAAAGCTTTTAAGCACACAGCAGGAAAATCGCACCTCGAAGCTAAAGCAGCAATACAGAGGGGCCCTCCCCCACAAAAAGTCCTGCCCATCGGCTCCCCCTGAGCCGTCAGTGAGGCAGGCAGAGCCCCGACCCCCGCGGTGCTACCTGCCGCTGCCCCCGGCCACAATCCCGGCTGGAAGCGCCGCGCCAGCCCCGGCCCGCGGCAGGAAGCGGAAAGGCGGGGCGGCACGGCACGAACCGGGCACAAGCAGGAAGGAACACGGGGCACAAGGGGCCCCGGCGGCGGCAGGGACAGCCGGGAGCTGTAGTTCGCCCGGCTCGGGATGGCGGTGCCGCCTCAAGGCCGTGAGGCGCCGTGCGAGCTGAGCAGCGGCGGAGCGCGGAGCGAGGGCGGGGGAACAGACACCCGGCGCTGTGGGGCT